TTCTAGTTAAGGTTTGTCCTAGGTAGCTTGAGTTGTACAAATAATCACCGTTTGGATCCTTGCTTACTTCTGTGAAAGGTGGAGTTGAGCTTGATGATCTCTTGGGTATTATGTTTAAGGTCACTTTTTATTACATATGGTTTGCCTTCAACTTATGTCTTCCCCTGGCAGAAGTGGAATAGACAGTGGTTAAGGGCATGACTGTTGTAATCACAGTGCTTGGATCCAAATTTCTTTTATTGCACATACTAGCTGTGTGACCTTGGGAAAGTTGTATAACCTTGTTGAGCCTCAGCCTCCTGATCGGTATATGGTGATGATAGTACTAACATTATAATGATATAAGGATTCAATGAAGTATAATGCACATAAAGTGCTTAGCATGGTGCCTTACGTGCATACTAAACACTCACTACAGATTAGTCAATCTTTTTATTATTAGGATTTCCACTTCCAATGTCCTCCACACGTCAGAAGCCTACCCATTTTTCAGTGGGGAGTCAGATGACTCTCCATAGTTCTTGGTGGTCAGGCCAAGAACATTGGAGTCATTGTTGACCCCTGTTAATGGGCTGAACTGTGCCCCCTCAAAATTCATCTGTTGAAGTCTTAACCCTTAGTGCCTTAGACTGTAACTGCACTTGGAGATATGGCCTTTAAAGAGGTAATTGAGGTTAAATGAGGTCATTAGGGTGAGCTCTAATCCAGTATGTGTCCTCATAAAGGAGATTAGCACAGACATATGAGATAAACGGACCATGTGAAGACACAGAGAGGAGATGGCCATTGGCAAGGTGAGGAGAGAGGCCTGAGAAGAAACCTTAATCTTGGACTTACAGCTGCACCTTAATCTTGGACGTACAACTGCCAGAATCATAAGAAAATAAATTTGTGTTTTTATTTTTTAAGAACTTTAGTTAATAATAGTGTATTATATTCTGGAGTGTTTTTTTTTGTTTGTTTTGTTTTTTGTTTTTTTTGAGACAGAGTCTTGCTGTGTCACCCAGGCTGGAGTGCAGTGGCGCAATCTCGGCTCATTGCAACCTCTGCCTTCCGGATTCAAGCGATTCTCCTGCCCCAGCCTCCTGAGTAGTTGGGATTACACTTGGCTGCCATCATGCCCGGCTAATTTTTGTATTTTTAGTAGAGATGAGTTTCAGCATGTTGGCAAGGCTGGTTTCAAACTCCTGACCTTAAGGTGATCCACCTGCCTTGGCCTCCCAAGGTGCTGGGATTACAGGCTTGAGCCACCGCGCCCAGCCTATTCTGGATTTTTTTAAAGCACACATTGCTGTGTGCCTCCCAATTCCCTCTGCCTGGAACACTCTTCCTGCAGATAGCTGCGGTGCTCAGCCTCACCTGTTTCAGGGCTTTAGACAAAAATCATCTTTTTAGCAAGGCTTTACTCTATCACCCTGTTTAAAATTACACACACACACACACACACACACACACACACACACAACACTTGTCTTCTCTTTCCTGGGTTTTCTCCATGGTATTATATATCTTACATGACATGTGTTTTACTTGTATTTTTAAATGTTGTGTTGGTTTTATTATAAGTTCCCTGAAGGGTGAGGTTTTTGCCTGCTTTGTTCCTTGTTTATGCACAGCACCTAGAACATTGCCTAGCACACGTTCAGCACTCCATAAACATGTCTGGAATGAAGAGACATGCTTCTTGGCTCCCTTCCAGTCTTCTACTCTCACTTCGTGCTCCTATAGCACCACCTCTCTTGTGGCTTTTCATGTATTCTGGATTTACTATACTGTAGTGTGTTGTCTGCCGCCACCCCAGACTGCGCAGTGCTTGATCAGAAACAATTCTTTATATTCCTTCTAGTGTCCAATGGCACACTCTATATAGGAGGCACTCAATAAACAGTTAATGAATATGTTAACATTAGCAGTCAGCAGTCGTATAGCCACTCTGTTTCCCTTTCTTTCCGCACACACAGCAACTTTGTAGACCCCAGGCCCATGGTTCTACTTTATGAATGAAGTAGAGACCTTTCTGATCCAGCACCATTTACCCATTACTTCTCTTCATCTTCTACAGGTTTATTCACGTCCTCTACCTTTCCCTTCTTTCACTTCTTCTTAGAGCTCTTCTCTAGTTACCTCATACGTTTTACTCCTTTTCTATTTTCCTCCCTCACGTCGGATCCCTTTGTTAGCTAACAGATGCCTGTTACTAGAAAGAACAAGAACAGTGCTGGTCCAAAAGTGTTAATCACCAAACAGTGTACACTTGTGAGAGCAGCAGGCTTTGAGTCTAAGTCAAGAACCGTCCAGACTGAGGTAGCCTTTGTGGAAACAGAAAGACTTAAATTGAATATTGGAAATGGGAAGGATTTGGATAGAAGAGAAGATGGGGAAAGTAGGAAATGAGAAGCAGAAAGAAGGCAGTGGAGAGCGCACCTGGTTCACCAGCTTTCCCAGCACTTCAGTGGGCCCAGCGGACCCTTCAGAATTCCACAGGAGGAGGTTTCCAGCCTTTATTCTCCTTCAGTTTCTATTGTTTTTCTTCATATACTAGATGGAATAGGAGGATCAAAATGAAAGCTTTAAACATTATTTTTAATTGAATTTAAATTGTTTTCTGTTTGGTTTAAGTATTATTTCAACAATAATTTTCCCTTTTAAGTTGACTGCCTACACTATTTTTAGCTACATTGTAGATTAAATAGGCTTTTCTGGGTTGGTCTGAGATTATAAGGACTATTTATATTACAGTTTTTATGGGAGAATGAATTCAGGGTTGCAAACAAGTGACCTATGTAGAAACTTTTGGAATACAACTTAATGGTGGACTGTTTTCTTATAACTGTTTTAAGTTTTGTTTTCTTTTTGCATTTTGCTTTTCTAGTCTCTAAATGGAATATGGTGTGTCTTCTTTCCTTTGATTCCACTGTTACTCTGTGCAGCTAATCAAAGTTTATAGGCATTATAAGTCCTGCCATAAGTCATTTTACTTCAAATTTCTTATTATATTTTAAAATAATTAATAGTTATTTTCTCTCTGCCTTTTAGTCAGATAATAATCAGGGAGAGCTTTTCTTTTAGTTTTTCCCCCCATAAGAGTAAATGAATGAATATAAAATTAAAATTTTATTTTTTTGTTTTCTATTCATATTTTTTTGAGACAGGGTCTTGCTCTGTTGCCCAGGCTGGAGTGCAGTGGCACGGTCATGACTCACTGCAGCCTCAACCTCCTGGGTTCAGATGGTCCTTGTACCTCAGCCTCCCAAGTAGCTGGGACCACAGGCACATACCACCACACCTGGCTAATTTTATCTTATTTTTTAGAGACAAGGTCTCACTCAGGCTGGCCTCAGACTCCTGGCTTCTAGTGATCCTCCTACCTCAGCCTCCCAAAATGCTTGGATTGTAGGTGTGAGCCACTGCACCCAGCTAAGGTTTTATTCTTATGAGTCATCATTATTTTGTGTGGGAGCTCAACCTAAACTGCTAAAAGATCAGTAATTAAAGATTTTCTTAAACTCTGACAGTTGTGAGATTGGACAACAGGAGATTTGAGCTCCTCAGGAGAAGTGATGGTTCCTAGAACCACACTCAGAGAATGAGGCTGGAAGAATAATGATTCCTGTGACTGTCAGAAAGAAAGGCCTGTCTGCAAAGCATTTTGGTTGACACTTCCTATCTGTTTGGTGTTTTGCACTTTTGGGGAGCATTTCATCACATCCATGGGGTGGAAGTGTTTTCGAAACAATATCCTCTGCTTTTCAGTAGTTTTGTTTCCATGTATTTTAGTATTCCAAATAATTATAAGATTTACCCCAAGTCAGAGTGGAAACTATCTTTGCCACCAAAATGTTCATAATTACCTCAGTGACTGGCAATATTTTAATCCTCTCCCCACCCTACCTTTCCAGAAAGCCCTTTCATTCTTTCTCTTGAGATATTCTGATAAAAAAAATTAATTGCTGATTGAGAATATTTCTTCAGTTAACAAAAACTCCTTTCTGAAAATTTAGCATTTAAGAGAAGCTTAATTTGGAAGTTATCATTAATATGATATCAATAATTATTTTCATTACTATTATAAAATAGCTCGTTCAATTCATTAAGGATTATTTGTTAGGGATGAATTAAGAAAAACATGTACAGCTAGTGCTCAACTTACGACCACGATTGGTTCCGACAGACTGGTTGTAACACGATTTTGTCGTAAGTTGAGTAGGCAATATGTACTGTACTGTGAAATGATGTTATAAAAATCTTTAAGTCATATTTTATCATAATTCTTTCATTATTGTTATATATCATAATTTTCTTTGTTCATTTTATGCCATTTGTATCATCTCTACACCATTTTGTTTCTTATTTTTACATTCGTCAGGTTTAAGTAAAACACTGCATTACCAGTACAACTGGTTTAATATTTGCAAAACATAACAAAATTACAAAATACAGGTGCATACAAAAATACAAAATACAGGTGTAAAAAATACCATAGGAAACATTTTCCCAATTGCAAAACATATCAAAATCTATAAACATGTATGAAACATTTTATTGGCCGCTGGTGCTTGGCTGTGGATTGTTGATGTCGTCATCTGAGGCAGCAGTTCGGGTTACTGGAGTTGGTTTTTTCATAAACATGGTGAGCTTTGTCTGAGTTGTATGTTTCTTTCTTTCTTCATAAATTTCACAATACGGATGAAACACATCGTGCACCATCCGTTCAATCCTTGCAAATCGTTCGATGTTTGGGTCCATTGCTTCGAAATGTATAAGAAGTTTATCGGGAGGGGTTTGATGAAAAATATCCAAGACACAAAACACAAATTTCTGTACCGAGTCTGGGATAACAGTTGAAATGGTGCACGCGGAGATGGTAGTGCTGCTGGAAGATGGTCCGCACTGTCGTAGGCCCAGCTGGGCAACGTTTGCGCTGCCAGACGCGGAGCAGTCGTGGCTAGCGATTGTGGTCATAAAGTCGAATGGTCGTAGTTGCGTAGGTCGCGAGTCATCAATACCTGTATACTAAAAGCCATTGAATTTTACACTTTAAATAGATGAATTGTGTGGTGTGTGAATTATATTTCAATAAAGCTATTATTTTTAAAAAGCATTTTGTTAGTATTCGCTCACTACTCTCAGCTAATGAAATGGAAAAGACTTTAGAGGTACATAGAATGGTCAGTGAGAGATAAATATAACATACAATGAGTACGTGATTTACTACTCTGAGGAAAATTCTCAACATCTCTTTGAAACTCTAGGTTAGAATGAATAGAGAACAAATTCCCTATTCCATGAATCTGTTAACTTTGTTTATAGTATCTTTTGTCAGGCAGAAGTTTTAAATTTAGTAGTCAAATTTATCTTTCCTTGCGCTCAGAAGCCCCTCCATCCTCCTCCCACTTTGTTTAATTCTCTGCTGTTGCTGTCTTGAAAGTCTTGCATTTTCATTTTTCACTGGAGCACACAAGTAATGTAGTCATTCCTGCTTATATGTTTTTTAGGCTTAGGTCTTTAATTACTCTGGAATATTTTGGGTGTGTGTGACTTGTGTGAAAAAGATTTAATTATTTTGTATTTTTTGCAAATGGACTGCCAGTTATTTCAATACCATTTATTTAGTAGCTAATCCATTTCCCATGATTTGGAATGCCACCTTTCTTATATTTTGAATTCCCTTGTATTCACTGGACTGCCTCTGGAGTATCCATTTCGTTCTGTTAATCTGGTCATCTGTTCCTGTACCAGTATCATGATGTTTTAATTGCTGTGTCTTCACAATGTTTTTCAATATCTGGTAGGAAAAGACTTTTGTTATTCCTTTCTAAGATTACTTCAACTATCTTATATTTATTTGCTTTTCTTTTTGGTATCAGCCTCTCAATTCCTTTCAGCTTCCATTTGGGATATTGTTAGAGATTACATGAAATTTATAAATTAATTTTGGGGAAAATAACATCTGTATAATATTGAGTCTTCCCATACAAGGACAAGATATATCTCTTCTTTAATTACCTTAAGTCCTTCAGTAAAGTTTTATCTATTTTTTTTTTCTTAATGGGCTTGCATAGCAAGCATTTTAAATTGTTGTTTTGAATGGGATTTATTTCTAAGTTTTTCAAATTGGTGGTTGTTGATGTATTTAAGAGCTAATAATTTCTGGTTTGGGTTGTGTATTTGACCTCCTTGCTGACATCCTTGTAGATCTAATGGTTTACCTATTGATTCTCTTAGCTCTTTATATAGAGATTTAAAAATACAGACAATGTTGTGTCTTTATTGCTAATATTTGTTTTATTTTGCTTTTTTTTTGTTACTGCTTTGGCTAGAATAAGTCTTGTTGATATTGTCAAATATCAATAAGATATTTATTCTTATTTTCAATTGGGGAGCCTCTAGCATTTCATCATTTAATAAAAAGTTTATTATTGGTTTCTCCTAGATTCTCTTTTTCAGATTAAAGAAAACTTCTGTTTCTAGCATGTTAGAGTCTTACCACGAATGTTTTGTATTTTATCAAATCCTTTTTTCTGTAATAATTAACACAATCATACAGTTTTTATCTTTTAGTTTGTTAATGCAGTAATGACCTTCATAGAGTTTTTCTCTTCTAAAACCGCATTGTATTTCTGCTTGTTCTTGACATATTGATTAGCCAGGATTTTATTTAAGCTTTCTGAAACTGTATTCATAAGTTTGAATGATGTATGGTTTTCTTTTTTTGTTTTGTCATTGTCTGATTTGGGTATGAGGGTTATGATAAACCAAACAATACAATGCAAGCCTCTCTTCCACCCCAAATAATGATTCTGTCTAAAATATTAACACTGCTAAGTTTGAGAAACTCTGTGCTAGACTCAAAATAAACTGAGTGGCTTTCTGTTTTTTTCCGAGTAGTTTATGTAACATGGAATTTACCTATTCTTTGAGAATATGATATAATTCACCTAAAATGACCTGAGCCTGGTGCCTTTTAAGAGGTAGATCTTTGAGTACCTTTTCTATTTATTCTTGGATATTCATCTCAATGGTTTTCTTCTTGAGTTAATTTTGGTAATTATATTTTCCTGGAAAATTGGTCATCTTGTTTATTTTTAAATTCATTTATATTAAATTTTAATGTATTAGATGAATTTTGAGAGTAATAATTCTATCTTCTTTCTTTTTGAACTACATTTTGCCAAAGATTTGATTGGCCGATGTGTCTTTGAAATTACCAGGTTTTGGTTTTATTCATCAACTCTACTATTTTCTGTTCCTTGATTTCTCATTCATCTTTTTATAGCTATATTAATTTCTCTTTTCTATATGTTTATTTTCTTTCTCTTGTGTTTAGTTTTCTGAATTGAAAATTTCGGCCACTTTTTATTGTTCTCATTTTGTAAACAGGCAATTAAGGCTATAAATTTTCCCGAGTGCTGCTTTTCTAGTAACACATAGGAGTTAGTGTATAGGGCACACATGTCATTCATTTTTAAACTGCTGGTGATTTTAATTTTCGCTTTTTTACTTTGACCTAAAAATTTTTGGAAGTGTTTTAAAATTTCTATGTGTATAGAATTCTTTGAGTTGTTTAGCTCTGTCAGGTAATTTGGCCTTTATGTTTTCTGTTTGGGAATGTTTTTGAGTGCTGCTCTGTGGCCTAATACAAGATCATTTGTTGTGAATGTACAAAAAATTACAGCTTGGTAAATTAGTATTCAGATGTTATCATCTGCTGAGATCCTGGTGCCTGTCATGGCCTAAGCAAGAAGCCATCTATATAGATGGGGTTCTATGTAACAGATGATAGAAACCTAAGGACTTGTGGTTACAAACGTATCATCCATTCATTTAAAGTAAACAACCAAACACTGCATGTTCTCGCTCATAAGTGGGAGCTGAACAATGAGAAAACATGGACACGGAGAGAAACATCACACACTGGGGCCTGTCAGGGTGGGAGGCAAGGAGAGGGGAGAGCATTAGGACAAATAACTAATGCATACGGGGATTAAAACCTAGATGACTAGTTAATAGGTACAGCAGGCCACCATGGCACATGAATACCTATGTAACAAACCTACACGTTCTGCACATGTATCCCAAAACTTAAAGTTAAAAAAAAAACCTGTTCTAATCACTTTTAGGAACCTGTTTAACTCAAGGAAATACAAATACAATTAAAGATGCCTTTATGCATTATTTGTAATAGTGAAAAATCAGAAATAAATGACTGTTGGTTAAATATATGAATAAGTATGTGGGATTTAAAAAATCATATTTTTAAAAGAATATTTAAGATTATGGGTGAAATTATTCCTGGCATCTTTATTTAATAAAGCAGGATACAAATTTGCATATTATATGATCACATGTTGAGAGAAACAATACATGAACATTTAAGTTTTTGCATACAATAAATGATTTTTTTTTAGTTATTTCTTGAGTTATATAAAAATTTTATTCTTTACATTTGTATTTCTGAATTTTTGCAATGATTATTTACCTTATAACAAAATGTATGTAGTTGGAAGCATCTTTTGCCAAATAATTTCTTTTGTTTAGCTTGTATATAATGCAGAACTGCAACTTACGGAGGGCAGTTTAACGGGATATGTTAAAATTTTGAGTATTTATATTCTCTCACCCAAAAAGTTCACTGCTATGAATTGATCAGAAGTTTCTTTAAAAGTACAGAATAATTTTACTATCTTGTTTATAATAGTGAAAGATTCAAAAATAATTCTAATACTCAGTATAAACCTAGTTAAATAAATTGCGTTACACATATAAAAAGAGAGTATTAAAGAAGTCTTAAAAATAAATTGGAGCTTTATGGGTAATGATGTAAAACCTGACCAAGACATATTATGTGACTGAAACAAGTTGCAAAACACTATGCATAGTATGATTCCATTTTTGTAAAAATGGGGTGATTACATATACATACATCACTTGTAATGCATTACAATTTTCTGGAGTAATATATAGGAAATAGCAGTACCTACCCGTGAGCATAGGGCTAAATATGTATGATTTCACTTCATGTATTTCTATCATTTTGAATTTTTACAGAAAACATGAATTACTTTAAACAAATTTTAATGAAAATAAAATTTAAAAAGTAGAAAATTATATCATTGTAATACTATTTATGTATTTCCTTTTCATGTGTGGTAGTAGGCCTACCTGTGTAATAAGTATGTAAAATAGATAGGTTCACTGCCCTTGAAGAGCTTGTTCTCTAAAATTCTGTTTTTCATGGATATATGACATTAATGTTATTATTTTTGTGATGGTTACATGATAGTTTGCTAGAGGTCAAATGATTAGAATTTAGTCATTTCTGACTTCAGTGAACTAATGCTAATTTAACTGAAATTTATCATGTACAAGTTGGATAATCTCCAAGTGGGTATTACTGGTCTCAGAAAGGAATTAGATGGATTAAAATGAGTACTATTAGTCCAGACTTTTTAAAAGTCCATAGTTTTTTTTTAATCAAACATAATAGAACTTGTTTGCATCATTGTATCTTTTATAGTAGACATATAATTAAGTTTTAGGAGAATTTGTTGTTTATGATAGGTGATAAGTATCATATAAAATTAAAAAGTTACAGTGTAAATATTTCAATTTTGAGTTGATTTGATGTAACTGATGAACATTAAAATACTTGCCATTTCACACAATATTAAGATATAATTTTTACTCAGTGACATTTGCATTTTTTGAGCAGTACTGTTATCCTTTATTTAATGTTTAGCTACCGTAAAACTTTAAGTGAAAGCCAAGCTTAGAAAAGGATGAACAATGAACCATTAATTGTAGAGAATTATGAAACTGGATTTTTAAAACAATGTTTGTTAAAATGTCATATTAATTCAGCTTATATACCCAGCATTTGCATGTTTCCTCATTTTATTTCTGGTGTCTGAAAATGTATTTTGTATACACTAAATGTAGGTGGGTACAACATTCAAAATAATACTGTCATAAACTAAAAGTGCAAGCAAAAAAAATTATCTGCTATTTAACTTAGTAGATAGGTTAAAACCATTGTTTAGGATCATTGGTATATAATTGAAATGAGTGACATTTTGAATGATAATACGAATATTAGAAAGAAGAAAAAAATAAAACTAATGGACCAAACTACTATGTCAAACTCATATATAAAAAATAAAGTTACTGTGGGTAATTAAAAACCTTCCACTTTTACTCCCTTTTCAATTTATGCATTAGATTTTTTCTGACTCTCTGCTACACCTGGAAGCTCTACATTGGTATTTGTTTTCTATAAGTATTTGTTTAATGAACTGTTGAGAATGCACACCTGCTCATCTGTGTCAGGCGCAATAATGAAGGCTGGGTTTGCAGAACTGTCAGATCAGGCTGCTGGTTCCCTTTGGCTTTGCCCTCCATGGAGCTGGATCCTATGACTGTTGCAGATCTTCCCCTCTCACTCGTGCCCCTCTTTTGGGATTAGATATCTTTGCACTCTGTTTTCCACTACCAAAGCTACATTTCTACACTCTGCCATCAACACCTTAGACCATCTTTGGCTTTTTATTATCCTTCCAGCTTCCCAACCAATAGTGGACAGAGAAAAGAGTCCCCCAACTCTGCTCCAGTGGGAACCCCTTCATCTGTGCTTGACAACATCACCTTTGTCCACTGCAGCTCCTGCTTCCACATTTATCCGCACTCTCCAAGAGCTCTGGCCCGTTCCCTCTGAATTCTACCATACTCCCAGGCTTCCCTGTCGTAATATCATGTGCCTCTTGCCTTTTAGTCTCTTTTGCTCCTTTTTACTACAAAACATGTTGAACAAGTGGTCCATGCCCCATCTTTGTGTCTCTCCAAACCGATTTTCATTTTCACCCGTCTACTGAACAACTTTCTTCAGTGTTACCCTTGATCTTTATTTTACGAAATTCAAAGATCTTTTGTTCATTATTTCTTGTGTTGGCCTTTCCATAGCGCTAATGTTGCTGACTTTGCTCTTGGAGAATTTTTTGTCCTTGTGGCTTGTGTCTCATTATCTGTCTTAATTCTCTTCCACCTTTCAGTCTTCCTAGCCTTCCTTGCTGGTTACTTTTCCTTCTCTCTGACTGTGCATGCATCACAGACCTCCTCTCCTGTTCATGCTCTTTTCTATCTATATTTTCCTCCTTGGAGAGTTCTCACAAGCAGCAAATATCACCTCTACACTGATGGCTACCTCATCGTAGTCCTATCCTCGAACACTAACCTGGCCACCAGTACCATATCCCATCTGTGTTCAGAACTTTTTCAACCAGATGTCCCACTACAATGTCTCTTCTTGCTGAGAACATGTAATTCTTTAGGTGTAAAGAAGATCATCTCCATTAAACTGGTTCATTCATCAAAATTCTTTGCTTCAGCTTATCACCACCATCATTCAGATCTCTGTAAAGAAGACAACCTTTAGTAGTGATTTAGCTGCAAACCTAGAAGCCTCACATAAATCAACTCACTCCATTGTCCTTTATGGAGTCACATGCAGATTTATGTCAGCTCCCCCAGCACAGTGCCACCACACTGGTCCATCTTACCTTGCTGGCCTTCTGCCTGTTAAACTCTTCCAGTCCCTCAGGGTCATCACTGCCTGGTGACACTTTCTAAACACTATAGGCAAGCAGTAATCATCCAGCTGTTCCTTATGTGCTTTAACATTTGTTTAGCTCCTGGATCTGACTCTCAGGGCCCTCGGGAGTTTATCCCTCCCTCTGTCTCCCACCTACTCAGCATCACTTGACATTTGATCAGCTGCCTTTTCTCTCTTTTGATAATTTTAGTTACAGAGCCCTTTTTGTTTGAATTGCCTGCTTCACTCCATTCTTAGTCCTACTCACCTTTCAAGGACCACTAAAATATCTCTGAGTCAACAATACCTCAAGTCAGTACTGTAATTGAGTATCTTTCATTTATATCTTATATGGGGATAAATAAATGGCCCCCTCACCTTCCCTCAGAAGTCTTTCCATATACTACCACTTCCTAAAAAATATTACAGTCTGCATTTTCCTAACTGTACTGTAAACTTAAGGGTGAGAATATATTTCATCCCCTTCTCTGTCTCCCCTGGTTACCGATAATATACAAAGAATAATTTCAATGAGTACTTCATGGTTATTAATTGTTGAATATCACAGTTTAAATACTTAGCAAGTTGAGAAAATATAAGGAAAATAAGATTTCAAACAATCTAATTATCTATATTCAGCAAAACACCAAAAGTTTCTGTTAGATATGACAGGGCATCATGTTCATGGAATTAAAACAGTGTTTTCTAAATGAAATATATACTGTTGAGGTATATGTCCTCATGTTTCAGAGGAAACAGAGAGCCCACACTTTCCTTAGGAATACCTTCTAATATTTAAAGCATAACACTACTTTGTCGTGTACTCATGATATTTAGTTTATACCATTAACAAATGTTGAGACTGGGGCTAGAAGCTGAAGTTCTTATATCTAATCGAACGACCTTTCCACTGCACATTTCTGTATATTCAGTTCACTCATTTGTTTATTAAGCACACACTTATTGAGCACCTACTATGTGTCAGGCCATGCTAGGCAATGAGATAGAGCCTTCAAAGAGCTTAGTCTGCCGATGGAGACTGACAAGGCAACATAAAAGTTGAAATGCAGTGGTACATGAAGTGGAGGAAAACTTTATCTTAATGTTTTGTTTTTAGACAAGGGCTTGAGGAAGTTTAATGCTGAGGGAAAGTGCTAATAAGGGAGAGGCTAAAGATTCCGTCTCAAAAAAAAAAGAAAAAAAAAGATTCAGGTGAAGGGTAACTAGCAGAGTCGTGTCCCTATGAAGGCTGTGTGAAGGGAATGGGGCCCAGAGCACAGATAGGGACATTAGCTTCCTACCAGAGAGGAATAGCATTTCCAACCAGAATGGAACTCAGAAAGCAGCAGCGGAAGCGGGGGATTCTCATTTGTTGCCTGCTATTCTAGGTGAAGTAAGAGACAGGCTCATTGAATGAGAATGAGAGTGATGGGACGGAGAGGAAGGTAGAGTATGTGAAACCCGCTTGTAGGAATTAGAAGAGTCTTGACCTTCTCAGGAATATAGGCAGCAAAGTCATCTATCACCCAAGAGAGGCAAAGGTGGTGAGGGGAAGGGGCCTGAGACAGCTCTAGTGGATACTTGGCAGAGGAGCAACACCAGGTGGATAAGGGGTTTGCTTGGTAAGAGGTGAACCCTCTCGTGTTCGGAGCACTGCAGGGTGCCCAGCATCTCAGCTCCTTCTAGGAGGAATCTGGGACTGATGAGCAAGCTGAATGGCAGTTGAAAGGTCCAGTATCCACAGGGGTTATGGGGAAGCTCAGGGAGCTTGGAAGCCCAGGAGTAGGTCAAGATAGCACCAACTACGGGGATAAGTAGACATTTTCCTCTTGTGGCAGTAGATGTGTAAGGAATAGACAGTTGGTTGAAGAAGTGAAGAGAAAGGGATATTAGAGAACAGATTATTTTAAAAGAGATTTATTAAGAGAATTATTTTGAAAGGGGATAATCGGTTGATTTAGTTTTGAAATGGAGAGCTGAGCTAGCAGAGATATCTGATAATTTCTGGTCAGTTCAGGATGTCTCTCTCCTTGAGTGATGACCAACCTTGCAGCTCAGCCTGCCTCATGACCCACCTGTTAGGTTCTCTGGATTCTCACTGCAATCAGGACCCCCATCCAGGAGCTTTCTTTTTTTTTTTCTTAAGGACCTTTCATGTTTGATTCTTATGCTATTCTGGTTCTCAGTATTAATAATTCAGAGTCAATTGTTTTTAATAACCTAACTATAAATAATTAGTGAAGAGAATTAAAGGAATGGATATACTCATTGATATAATCCTTACCCTGCCCTGTGGCATTGGCTGTTACTGATAAAACTTGATATTGTAAAAATTTTATGTGATGAAATTCAAATGAGAGGGGAGGAAAAGCAATGACAACTGCTTTGAAAAATAAAATGAAGAGTACAAAAAGGAATAACTAGGGTCTTTCTAAACCAAAAAGAAAAATTAATGAATAAAGGATTTGGAAAAAAATCCCTCAAAGTATTAAAATTTCCTTCTTATTCCTAAAGTTAATTGGAGCTAGTAATGAAAAGCAAAGAATATATGTGTGTTTATATGTACACATACATACATATGTACATACACACATATGTATACATAAACACACTTGCAAGTATTTGAACCATTGTATCTTTTCAAAGTAAAAAAAGTAGCTAGAAATTACAATCAAGATTAATTAAAAATTTTAAAAAGCAGGAAATTACAATCAAGATTAAATAAAAATAGCTTCTCTTGAATTAGTAGTATATCAGGTAGATGTAGCTAAGATATTTTTCCAACCATGAAAAGCAGCAAGGAATAGTTTAGAAAATAATTGGTTTATATTGTTTTACATATTTATGTAAAGATTTTCATTATCACAAATTTTAATTACTATTTTAAATATTAAAATTATTTAGTGTGAATGAAAGGGTATTGTGACCTAATAGGTAATGCTAAAAGATTTCTATTTGTCTTTGGATTAATTACATGAATTTAAAATGGATCACACATCTACATACATATATACATACACACATGTTAGTATTTTAAGCAATATATTTTAAACTTTGAAAAATGTAGCAAGCCATCATAATCATGAGAATAAAAAAATAGCTTGAGAAGCTATTGAGATATTTAATAGCTTATCTTGAGAGAAAACATATATTAGTAATTTACAAATTATTGTTAGTAATTCATGAATAGATATTGTAAAATCAGAAAATAAAATTGTGTATTCTGATCCTATGCCAGCAAATATACATACCTGACTTTAGCATTTATGACTCTAGGTTAAAATTATGTTTACTAATCATTTTCTCATCCTTGTGACTGTGGATTCTTTGAAAGTAGAATAGAGAGCAATCTTATTTAACCTCCAGCATATACTCATAAAAGTACTCAAAAGACCCTGTGATTATAATGCTTACACTTAGAATATCAAGTCTTAGAATAACCTATGACCATACTTTAATTATTTTCACCATTCTACATGTGAGTTAATTGAGGCTTGAGAAGTTTAAGCAACTTTTTTTTTTTTCAAGTCACACTGCTCCTAAGTGGCTAGTCAGAAATTGGAACCTAAGTGCTGGAACTCCAAAGCCCACACTGTTAACTACTGAGCACAGGCAGGGAATGTGTTGGCTTATTTCGTTAATACCTGGGACTGTGCTCAGACATTGTAGTCAGTCAGCGTGAGAGTGTTTGAAATAAGTAATGTAAAAGTTGTAATAACTAAAGTTATCCAAGATTAGCAAATGATTTATTTTAACTTTAAGGTCAGAGGTACATATGTACGTTTGTTATATAGGTGAATTGAGTGTCATGGGGGTTTGATGTGCAAATTATTTCATTACTCAGGTAATAAGCCTAATACCTGTTAGGTAGTGTTTTGATCCTCACCCTCCTCCCACCCTCCACCCTGAACTAGGCCCAATGTCTGTTGTTCTCTTCTGTGTGTCCCTGTGTACTCAATGTTTAGCTCCCACTTGTAAGTGAGAACATGCAGTATTTGGTTTTCCTGCATTAGTTTGCTTAGGATAATGGCGTCTGGCTTCATCCATGTTGCTGCAAAGGACATGATCTTGTTATTTTTTTTGTGGCTGTGTAGTATTCCATGGTGGCTATGTACCACATTTTCTTTATACATTCTACTGTTGATGGGTAGTTAGGTTGATTCCATGTTTTTGCTATTGTGAATAGTGCTGCAGTGAACAAACACTTGCATGCGTCTTTATGGTAGAACAATTTGTATTCCTTTGGGTATATATCTAATAATGGGATTGCTGGGTTGAATGGAATTCTGTTTAAGTTCTTTGAGAAAATGCCAAACTGCTTTCCACAGTGGTTGAACTACTTTACATTTCCACTAGCAATGTATAAGCTTTCCCTTTTCTCTGTAACCTCAATAGCATCTGTTATGTTTTGGCTTTTTAATAGTAGCCATTTTGACTGGTATGAGATGGTATCTCATTGCAGTTTTGATTTGCATTTCTCTAATGATTATTGTTGAGCATTTTTTCATATGCTTGCTGGCCACCTATATATGTCTTCCTTTGAAAAGTGTCTGTGTCCTTTGCCTACTTTGTAATGGGGTTTTTTGTTTGTTAATTTGTTTAAGTTCCTTATAGATTCTTGATACTAGACCTATGTTGGATGCATAGTGTGCAAATATTTTCTCTAATTCTGTAAGTTGTGTGTTTACTCTGTTGATAGTTTATTTTGCTGTGCAAAAGATCTTCAGTTTAATTAAGTCCCATGTGTCAATTTTAATTTTTGTTGCAATTGCTTTTGGTATCTTCATCATGAAATTTTTGCCAAGACCTATGTCTCAAATAGCATTTCTTAGGTTATCTTCCAGAATTTTTATAGTTTTAGGTTTTACATTTAAGTCTTTAATCCATCTTGAGTTGATTTTTGCATATGGTGTAAGGAAGGAATCCAATTTCAATCTTCTGCATAGCCAGTTATCCCAGAATCACTTATTGAATAGAGAGTCCTTTCCCTATTGCTTGCTTTTGTCTACTTTGTTGGAGATCAGATGGTTTTATGTGTGCAGCATTATTTTGGGGCTCCATTCTGTTCCATAGGTCCATTTGTCTGTTTTTATGCCAGTACCATGCTGTTTTTGGTTACTGTAGCCTTGCAGTATAGTTTGAAGTTGGGTAATTTGATGTCTCCAGCTTTATATTCTATTTGCTGAGGTTCAGCAACCACCTTGGCTATACAGGACCCTTTTTGGTTCCATATGAATTCTAAATCTTTTTTTCTAATTCTGAGAAGAATGTCATTGATAGTTTGATGGGAATAGCATTGAATCTACAAATTGCTTTGAGTGGTATTGCCATTTTAATGATATTGATTCTTCCTATGCATGAGTATGGAATGTTTTTCCATTTGTTTGTGTCATCTCTGATTTCTTTGAGCAGTGTTTTGGAATTCTCACTGTAGAGATCTTTCACCTCCCTGGTTAGCTGTATTTGTAGGTATTTTATTCTTTTTGTGGCTATTGTGAATAGGATTGCTTTCTTAATTTGGCTTTCAGCTTGGTTGTTGTTGGTGTATAGAAATGCTACTGATTTTTGTACATTGATTTTGTATCCTGAAATTTTGCTGAAGTTGTTTATCAGATGAAGGAGACTTGGGGCAGAAGTTGTGGGGTTTTCCAGGTATAGAATCATATGTCTGTAAACAGAGATAGTTTGACTTTCTCCCTTCCAATTTGGATGACTTTTAATTCTTTATCTTGCCTGATTATTCTGGCTACGACTTACAGTACTATGTTAAATAGGAGTGGTGGGAATGAATATACTTATCTTTTTCTAGTTCTCAAGGAGGGAATGCTTCTAGCTTTTGCCCATTCAGTGTGATATTGGCTGTGGGTTTGTCATAGACGGCTGTTATTATTTTGAGGTATCTTCTTTCAATGCCCAGTTTATTGAGGGTTTTTAAAATGAAGGGATGTTGGATTTTATTGAAAGCCTTTTCTACATCTAATGAGATGTTCATGTGGTTTTTTATTTAAGTTCTGTTTATGTAATGAATTGCATTTACTGATCTGTGTATATTGAACCAACCTTGCATCTCAGGGATAAAGCCTACTTGATCATGATGGATTAGCTATTTGATATGTTGCTGGATTGAGTTTGCTAGTGTTTTGTTGAGAATTTTTACATCTATGTTCATCAAGGATATTGGCCTGAAATTTTCTT